GAGAGTGTTATGAATAGCAAGCTGGTGTCACTGCCTGTGGATAGGGGTGGAGCTTCAAAATCTTGTTAATGAAGTGGAGTTTTTGGAATGTGAAGGGCATGAATAAGAGATATAAGCAAAAGGAAATAAAGAAGTGTTTACAGACTAATAAAGTTTCTTTAGCAGGCTTAATTGAAACTAGAGTGAAAGAGACCAATGCTATTACAACAATTAATGTCATAGCTTCAGGGTGGAATTGTTTGAACAATTACAATGATGCTGTTAATGGGAGAATTTGGATTATATGGGATGACAGTTTGTATGATGTTAAGATGATTACTAGTTCAGCTTAGATGATACATTGTCATATACAAGAAAGAAGCAAAGGGTATCAGTTTAATCTCACAGTAGTGTATGGTTTTAATAACATAGAGCAGAGGAAGAGCTTATGGACTAATATGAACAAGATGGTTCAAAGTGTTGTACAACCATGGCTCATTGTTGGAGACTTTAATGTTATTCTGTCTCCCAAAGATAGACTAGCTGGAGCTCCTGTCAATGAGAATGAGATAAAGGATTTTTCAGACTGTGTCAAGGCTATGGGCATTAATGAGTTGCAATGGAAAGGTAATTACTATACTTGGAATAATAAGCAGATTGGTAATGCTAGAATCTCAAGTAAGATTGATAGAGCCTTTGGGAATGATGCATGAATGGATAAATGGGGGCATGTCATATTAGAATATGGTAATCCAGGAGTTTCAGATCATAGTCCGATGCATTTGTTGCTTCATCAAGGCTACCAGCAAGTGAGAGCAAACTTTAAGTTTTTTAATGTATGGATTGAACATGAATCTTTCTTAGAACTGGTGGAGGAAGTTTGGAAGCAGAAGAAAGGAAGGGATTCAATGAAAATGGTGTGGAATAAACTGAAGGCTCTTCAGCCTATCCTGAAGCAGCTGAATAATAGAGAGTTCAAATACATAAGCAAGCAGATTGAGGATGCTAGAACTGAGCTTGCAGAGGTTCAAAATCAACTTGGTAATCAAGCAAAGGATGATTTAGTTGTTAAAGAAAAAGAACTCCTAACAAAACTTGAAAAATGGTCTTTAATAGAAGAAAGTGCACTCAGGCAAAAAGCAAGAGCAAAATGGATTAAGTTGGGGGATGCAAACAACAAATATTTTAGCTCAGTGATAAAGGAGAGAAATAATAAGAAGCACATTAGAAGTTTGATGTCATTAGATGGAAGGATGCTATATGAACCTCAAGAGATCCAAAATGAATTTGTCTTATTTTACAAAAGTCTAATGGGCACAGCAGCAGATAGTCTACCAGCTATAAATGCTCAGGTGGTGAAAAGGGGACATGTTCTATCAAGGCAGCAGAGAATCCAACTTTGTGCAATAATAACTGATCGGGAGATAGTTGAAGCTTTGAAGTCTATTGGGAATGATAAGTCTCCAGGTATTGATGGATATAATGCTCTATTCTTTAAACATACATGGAAGATCATTGAATAAGATGTTATTGATGCTGTCAAAAGTTTCTTTAATACAGGAAAGCTTTTTAAGTCATTCAATTGCACCCTTGTTTCACTAATTCCTAAGGTTCACAGTCCAAAGAATGTGAAAGAATACAGGCCTATTTCTTGCTGCACAGTTTTGTATAAAATTATCTCAAAAGTGATAACTCAAAGATTGCATGAAGTCATCCACACTGTTATCAGTGATAGTCAAGCAGGATTCATCCCAGGGAGAAAAATTGGAGATAACATAATTCTAGCTCATGAATTGGTTAAGGCTTATACAAGGAAGAATGTTTCTCCTAGGAGTATGCTTAAAATTGATTTACAGAAAGCTTATGATTCTGTAGAATGGCCTTTCTTAGAGCAAGTGATGGAGGGATTGGGTTTTCCTGACTTATTTACTCAATGGGTAATGAAGTGTGTTAAAACAGTGAACTACACTATTGTTGTTAATGGTCAGAACACTCAAAGGTTTGATGCAGCTAAAGGGCTTAGACAAGGGGATGCAATGTCACCCTTTCTCTTTGCTATAGCAATGGAGTATTTCAGTAGATTGCTCAAAGAACTCAAAGAAGAGAAGAACTTCAAGTATCATCCTAAAGGCACTCCACAAATGTTTCACTGAGTTTTCTCAAGTTTCAGGGTTGCAAGCTAATCTTAACAAAAGCTCAATTTACTGTGGTGGAGTCCAGAAGGAAGTGAGACATCAAATTGTCCAACAACTTGGATACACAATGGAAGAGCTACCTTTCAAATACGTGGGGGGTGCCACTGTCACCAAATAAGTTGAATACAATCCAATTGTATCCACTTATAGAGAAAATCATGACAAGAATCAATTCTTGGACAGCAATAAAGATGTCCTATGCAGGAAGAGCTCAACTAGTCAAGACTGTTTTGTATGGAGTTGCAAGCTTACTGGGCACATTTGTTTATTATACCTGCAAAGATTATCAAGTTGATAGAAGACTTATGTAGAAGTTACCTATGGTC